GTTGGTTTTAAGTGACTTACACCACTTTATAGTTTGAACAAGTGACAATTTTTTTTTTATATTTTTACACTTAATTTTTTATTATTTTTTATAATTTAAAAATTTTAAAGTCATTAACAATATAATTACAAATATAAAATTGTTCACAAATTGAGATAATTACAAGAAATAGTTCAATATCTGAGTTAATGCATGGTGAGAGTTAACGATGAGATTAGCCGTGACTATGAGAATTAAGATAACAAAAAATGACCCAATTGAAAGTTAAAAGAAAGGTGATCAGGGACTAAATTTACAAATTAAAAATAAAATGACTAAATTAAAAATTATGATAAAAGTAGGCAACCATAGATGTACCTTACCCAACATTTTTTTATGTCTTATCTTTTTCTTTCTCAGTTGGTTAGCATATGTTTTTGTAAGAAAGAAAAGAGAAAAGAAGTCCCAAGGAGATTTAATTGGTTAAAATGAAACTTGATATCAGGTTTGAAGTTTAAACCTTTAATTAGTTAGGAAGAGTTTTGGAAAAAGAAAAAAGCTTATAAATTATCATCTGATGCAAAAAAAAAAAAAGGGAAAAAAAAAGGAAAAAAAAAAAAGAAGAAGACAAAGAAGAATGCATACCTAGTTGAGATATATAGCTTCTTCAATTAATGTTAGATGGTAAATTCCACCGACTGCTTGGGAATAATAATGTAAATCTATACTCTTTGGAGTAGAGTATGGATTTCACCAAGATGATGCAATATCTGGAGAAGGGTGTGCAAGAACAGATCATAAGTTGTAGACTTGTACTATAACCAATACTACAAAATCATCAAAAAAAAAAAAGATGAAGAAGAAGGTACGTAGATAGGGAGGTGGAAGAAAATACTTACAGAGTCTGTACTAAGCATGTGTCGTTGATTGCTTCCTCTCGCTCTGGCTTTGAGATCCTCTTACTATGCGGTACATCATGTAGATCTGCTTTAGAATGATTTCATATATCAAGACCAAAAGGAAAATGAAAATTAACTAAAGAAACGCACAGTAAAGGGAAAAACAATAATTCGTTGACGTGAAGTCAACCTCCATTTATAAATTTCTAAAGATAAGGGCGATGTCTAAAAAACTGGAGACTTCATCAATATATGCAAAGAGTATTTAAAATTTTTTAAGCAAAAAATAAAATTTTTAAAATTTTTGTAAATCAATGTTTTTGTAGTTAGCGTATGTCTTTGTAAAAGAGAATAGAAAAAAAGGAGTCTCAAGCA